CTCACTGGGATTTTCGGTGACCCTCTTCTGTTCCAGTTTGTTTCTCTTTCAGTTTCAACAGACAAGTTTGAGCTTTACAGAATGTTATTAATTACTCCCTCCGTTCAATTTGTTTGTCTGGTTTTGACTTGACACAAATTTTAAGAAAGTAAATAAGACTTTTGAATCTTGTGGTCTTAAACTAAAGATATGTAGAATTTACCAAAACGTCCTTTAATCTTGTGGTCTTAAACATGCCATGTGGAAAATTGAAATTAAAGAGTTGCTGAAAAAGGAAAAAGACAATTCTTTTTGATGCAAAATCAGTATAAAAGCAAGTAATCAGTACCAAAAATGTCCGTCTCCTCCTCATCCAGAAGATGCAAAATCAGTATAAAAGAGGCCTCCTTGATCAAAAAACTTTATGAAATAATCAATAAGAACCAGCAGGACATTTGCATATCCTACAGTACATTACTTGTGATGTTGGAGGAATATTTCAAGAGAGGAGGTGGGTGTACGTGTGAGGGGAAAGTTTGCTTTACTAATATCATTTACATAAGTTTGAGTGGAACTATATGAATGAAGGTCTCTAGACAAATGTGCAGGAAGGGCAGAGTCACAACTCATGCATCTGAACCTTTAAGGAGGAATCTCTTCTTGCAAAGCTTAAGTGAGGAAGAACAGGAGATCGTGGGCAAAGCTAATGATTTGGACAATGTGAACAACAATTCTCCAGCAGAAATTCAAGATAAGGATATCGTTGAATGTTTGGAAAGTGATGTTCAATATTGGACAGATTTTTCAAAAGTACACTATCATCCACAGAGTTTGTATGAATTAAGTGGATTATGGGCAGATATTCAGGAGTTCGATAATTATGGACTCGGGAAGGAGGCATTTTGTGGGCATCAACACGGTGAAGAAATAGATGACAGACTTCGTTTCTTTGTTGAAGAATGTGATCATATTCAGGTACTCATGATTGAAACCTCTAGACTACTATATTGTCTAGTTAGTTTATTGCTGCGAATCCCCTCAGGTTTGTAGGCAGATCAACCACCTGAAATTTGTCCCGTTCAATGATTCTGATTCCTTCCAGTGTGATAGTATTACTATTTCTGTACATGTTTGAGAGCATTTCTTTGTCTTGTAAGTTTCTTCTTGATGGTGGATGAACTTTGTCCTCACGGAGTATATCACTACAGTTCCCTTTAGTCCTGTTTCCTTCACAGTATTTTTATTTTTTGATATCATAGAAATCACCTGTATACCCACTTTGTGGGGTATAAGCAGGTACAAAACTCCGGGGAGAATGGTCTGCCCCTTTAGCCTTCTCCCAACTTAGATTCCAGACTTTTTGTCCATGGCGGGGTTTGAAACCTTACGTGCGACAAACCCACATTTCATGTGTTGCATCCTTACAGTTGAACCAAAGACCTGGGGGCAGCGTCACAATACTGCCATAATATCTTGTCTGCTGTCACATTGGTTTACTGACTTAACAACCTCATTAGTTCATCTGGTCTTCAACAGTTCTGTTATAGCAGTTTGAGTATCAGCAATGCGACTCTATATTCTTCCTCTTGCTTGCTGAGATCTTGAATCTTGTGCTCTTTTATGACTAACTGTTATTATTTTCCTTTACTACCTTACATGTATATCTGTATAAATGCCTAAACAAAAATGATTTCACGGTTCACCTGCACTTGTGTTCTTTTCCTGTCGGCAAGAGTTGTTAATTTTTTTTTAATTGAATCTCTTTGCAGGGGATCCAATGCGTTGTGGACGATGCTGGAGGGTTTTCTGGTGTATCTGCAATGTTCCTGGAGAGCATTGCAGATGAGTACCCAAACGTCCCAGTTATACTATATAATGCACGTAATCCTAGCTTGCACATGGACTCCGAAGGTCGCAAGCAAGCTATCTCCCATTATCTTCACGATGCAGTCTCATTTTCAAGGTTGTCTGAGCTATGTAAATTGATTATCCCGGTTGGTTTGCCCTCCCTGAGTGGAAGTAAGAACTACTATTCTCATAATGTGATTTTTTCAGTAGAACTATGCAATTTCCCTTCATATGGTTCTCTCAGGCATACTAGATTCTTTATTCTTTGTTGAACTAAATTGAGTTGTAAGTTCGTACTGCATATTTTTCCATCCAAAGGAGATTATTTATCAGTAAGGACTCCTGGCCATAACAAATAGATACTTAATGGGTTCACATATACTGTATGAGTAGCTGACCTGTGAGTTCATATATGTCCTCCCTAAATTTTGAGAACATATCTAATTACAAGCCTGAGGTAAGGGGCATTTTTAAGATATCATGGCTAGTGCCTCACACTTTTTCATTTGCTGCGTGCAAACTTGTGGTTTTCCTCACTCAGAAGGCAAAAAGTTGTGTGTATTTTGTCTATATCCTCAGCAATTTTCAGCATCAAACAGAATCAACAAATTTGAATTCCAGTTAACTATGTGAATCCAATGTACTTTAAAGGAACCAGGGGGATTCAACAATTGTTGAGTGAAATCATGGGTGTTAAACCTGTATATTTAACAGCAAAATGTTTGGTAATCATGTGGTTTTCTTGAGCCAGTTCATTCACTTGTTCCTAAAACTGATGGGTGTTGTATAGTTTGCAAACTCTTTCTTCGCCTGTATGAGCTTATGTCTTGTTTGTGTACCTTTGTCTTTTCTAGTATTGGTGCAGGTCAACTTCTGTAACTGAATCTTGTTTTATGACCTCTTACTCTGTATGCTTCTCATATTTCTCTTATCTGAATGAGTTCCTGTGGCTGATACTTGCATATATGTAATTATCTAGGTAGAGCTTCCCAGTTTCTCTGCATTAAAGACGAAAAGCCTTACCACTCCAGTGCAGTGTATGCGTCTGCAATGCACTCATTTACTCTCCCTTTTAGGATGAAACAATCAGGGCCATCTGCAGAATCTCTCTTTACGTCTGGTGCTCTGGATATGTATGGGACAGTACAAATGCTAGCAGGCCAAATGAGGCAAAACATGGTAACTATATTGGATGTTGCCATGCCGGCACCTTCTTTAAGTGGTATGCTTTTTTTCTCTAGCATTTTATTTTTCTGAAGTCACTGTGCAATTACTTCTACTCCTGATGTTGGAAACTCTTTTACCCCAGCAGACCGGGCTCAGCAGTCCTTTCTCGGAAACTTGCAACCCTTGATTCTGGACATATCAGAAGATGTTGAAGATTTCCATGCAGTGGAAACTATGAACATTCACGGAGCAGTTACATCTGGTACTTGATTTGATCTTTAGCATATTTCTTATATTTTTAACATTTCTTTTCAATTTTCTGATCCCATTTTTGAATTGGTACATAGTTTGATGATTTGCGTACTGACTTCCCCATCTCCTTTTGGACTCCATCTACATAATATATGTCATATTACCTCATCTCTAAGCTGTTTTACCTTTGAGAAGCTCAAGCTATAGCACAGTATGCAAATATTTCATTAACTTATCCTGGTTTGAACAGGTAAGATACATCGCCGGAAAAATTACTGATTAAAATGCAACTTCCAAATCCCTGCAATGAAAATTAAGCTTTTCATGCACCCAAGGGTGTTGCCTAGTGGTCAATGAAGTGGTTGAGAACCATGAGGTCTCAGGTTCAATTCCCAGCGGAGACAAAAACACTAGGTAATTCTTCCCATCTATCCTAGCGTTGGTGGACAGAATTACATGGCACCTGTTGCTGGTGGGAGGTGGAAGGTATCCCATGGAATTAGTCGAGGTGTGCGAAAGCTGGCCCGGACACCACAATCATTAAAAAAAAAACGAAGAAAATTAAGCTTTTCATTTGCAAGTCTAGAGACAAATGGACAGAACACAACAAAGAAAAGTTAGGAATGAGGTGTTCCAGTGTGTGATGAGTACTAAACCTTAAAGGTAAAACCAACCTAAATAGTGGATTATGTTTGGTAGCAAAGCACTTCAGCATACGATACTCTATACAGAATAATAGTTCCTAAAGGGAGCTTGTAACTTTAACGCATGAGAGTGAGATGAATGATGAATGCCCACCTTTCAAAGCATATTTGATTCTTCAGTGTTGTTTTAGTGGCCCTTTTCTGTTATCACCTTCTTGCTTATAGCTTTTCCAGAGATGTTTGATCTGTTTAACTGTAGTTCTCCATGTAATTTTCAGGAAACCAAAGGGCCTCAATTAATGAAGTTAAGGATGCAGTTGAGTCTGCTTATGATAATTCAGTCACAAGGCCCAAATTCTCACACCTCTCTGCTTCTACTTGTCCTCTTCCTATACCCTTGCCTTTCCCTTTGATCTTTGGCAATATGGTTGGCCAACACGGTGAGCTATTGGAAACCCCAATTTCAGGTTCTTCATCTAGGGGATCCCTTGAAGTTCATTCCATTCCTATGGCAACAAGATTACGTTCAAGCACTGCTGTTTTGCCTCTTTTGGAAAGAAAACTTGGAAATCTTCGTAGGTTTGGTATTGAGCGAGGAGCCCTTGGGGCACCATTGCTCCAAAGTTGGGGTTTTGGAAAAGATGAAGTGGAAGATATGGGAGAGGTACTGTCAAAGATGGTAACGACACTGAAGCCCTATCAATATTCCTCTGATTCGGATTGAGTTTACAAGGGAGGAGAGCATATTTTATTTTTAAGTGCTGATGGGATAGTTCTTCCAGGTATAAGCTGTTCACTCTATTTGAATCAGTCATCTTGATCCATTTTTTCTTTCTTTTTTTGGGCGTTAACTTGCTTTAGCAGATGTGTTAGAGGATCCTTACTTTGTTTTCTTTCTGGAAATTAATGTGTCTTACCTTACTTCATAGCAAGAGAAGTATAAAATCTCGTATCCTTTTTATTCGTGCAAAGTTATAACTTGGTAATTCGTCGAGCTTCCATGTCTTATGAAATGGCACAGTAGAATGAAAAGAAGGAAATCCATAAAAGTGGAGTACTATATACATCAAATAGGATACTCAACAAATGTTATTAGAAGAAACAACAAACTTGACAATCTACAGAATGCCGCGCGGCCATTGATGCCACTCATAAGAAAATAATTTGAAGTGTTTAGTTCTCCACCCATATTCTCCGAAATCATGCACAAGTTCTGCGATATCTGTTTCCATGTCATAAGAAATAACCTTACCTTTTACATCCAAATAAAAGATGTGAGGACTAGCAGGATGAATGTCCATGTTCTGCACCTCAGTATGTAGAAATCCAGTAAGTCCAAAAGGAACTGTAGTCGCGACATCCGTGACATACTTCCTAACCCACAGTGCATCTCGACTACGAATATTGCTCTTCAGTTGCCACACAGTAATATTTGTCTTAACATACAATGCAAAATAGAAATCCCCACCTGAAAATCCGAGAAAATAATTGCCTGTTGCCACCATATCTTCAGGAAATCCCAAAGCCCAGAAACTCTTATGGACACTATCATAAACAGTGATTTGTGGTCCTTGATCAAGCCAAAAGAATACTCCGTCGACTACACCAGCTGATGGTGATTTCATATAAACGAAAAAATACAGTCTAAGAGGTACATTGAGAATTAAATTATCCACAATCCACGCATTGGTCTCAGAAGAGAAACTTTCAATTGTCACATTGGATTGTAAAATCCAATAGCGAACTATAGTAAAGGAGATAACATCTCTATTAGGGTCATCTACCTTACAAATAAATCCAATAGTTGGATCATTCATGCCGATTTGAGTTTTAGGGAGAGCCATGCTCTGCCTCGTAGCAGGATTATAAACATAATAAACCCTCTGCCTATTGCAAAGGAGAAAACCATTAGACGATGCAACTATATACGCGCTCCTGCCTAGAAAACTGACTGATTGATCAAAATTACCATCAATATCTAGTGATGATTCCTCGGAAGAGAAGAAGAACTGAATTTTCGAACGTTCACAGGTATCCCTAGCTTGATAAAAGAAACCAATTAGATAGGGTTGTGGCCTCCATCTTTGAGAACGACAACTATAACTGAGAGATGAATCAGTAATGTACTTCCGCCAACATTTCGATACACATTTAAACCTTGCTAGAGATTTTGAAGGCAAACGATGCAGTATGTTGATTACGATATCATCAGAAACCTCCACCACTCCTTCTTTGTGAGACAATTTGCGCCGACGTTTCATACTTTTGCAACTATACTATTTTTTTCAGAGCTATTACTACACAACAAAGTGCTCAACCAAAGGGCAAAGGTTGGTATCGTGGGTTAAAAAAAAAACTATACTGTTACATTGGATCTAAAACCATATAGAATTCGAAGTTGATAGAATAATGTAGAGAAAATTCAGAGCAGAAGATGGGAAGAAAAGTCACTTAGAATTGTTACTGCAGAAATGAGATTTTAAATGGTTAGCAAAATCAAATATTTTCTCGGGATTGAAGCCGCGAAATGCTCTGTTTTTCGTCGACGGTTACTTACGTAGGTGTATGGGAGTTCTTATGAAACGGGATTTTATAAGAAAAAAATAAAGTGGATCCCGCCACTTCAGCGAAATATTCAAATTTTTAGTTTTTTTTCTTTTTCATCTCTCTCCTTAATAGATTCCTTTCAATATTCTATCATGCATCTTCTTTTTTCTTTCTTTTTTCTAGTTATGCTTCATTCTTTTCTATTATTATTCAAAGATTGTCCAACTGTTCATTTATATAGTGCACGTCTTTGTGTGGAGACTAATTCAAAATCTAAACATTATCATTTGCATTTCAGTATTCTACCACAAAAAATGATTTATTGAATTCGAAATATATTGCACGTATCATGCAAGTACGAGTTTTGAGTCCAAACAATACAAGTCAGATATTATGGCTATAGAAAAGTGACTTTTCTGTTTAAAAAAAAAAAGAAAAATTGTTTTACTACTTCCTATGTCCCACATAACACACTTTTTCTTTTTTTTTTACGCAGTTTTAATATTTCTATATTTAGTACTAAAATTTTATAGTCACACAAATATCAATAAAATTTTTTTACTCTTTTCATTCATTTTTAATTGTTATAGTTTCTTTTTTTAGAGTCAAACTATAAGAACTTTGACTAATATTTTACGAGTTATTTATTCATCATATTGATATGCTAGAAATTGTAATTTATGAACTTTTCGTATAGTTTTTGAGTATCTAAACTTTTTATTTAAAATATCAAATTAACGTAATTTAATTTAACTTTACGAATTAGTTAAACTAACTTTTGAAAAACGCAGCAATATGACAATTAAAAATGAACAAAAAGAGTAGATCATAAATTTATGTCAAATAACATCACATTCAGGAATTAGAGAGTATATAATTTTATACTAGGCGGAACTCATAAACAGGTCCCTAAACTTGTTGGGTTTTTCTCCTTAGGTACCTCAACTACGTCATTTTCCTATTGAATCCTTGAACCACCCATAATTTGTTCCTTTTAAACACTGTGGGCTGATGTGGCACAAAATGTGATCTCACGTCGCTTGAGCGCGTGAAGACGTTTTGAAGGCACTGATGTGGATCCCTGAACCACCCACCAACTCTCTTCTTCCTCTTTTAACCCTAATTTCTCCCCTTTTTCTCTTATTTCTCCTCTTTTCTTTCTCTTCTTCATTGATTTATTCTTAATCATCAAGTTCCAATGTCGAAGTTATCTTGTTCATCGATTTCTTCTTCTTCTTCTTCTTCTTCAAGTTAGAAGTGTTTTGGGGGGAAAATGAAGGGGTTTTAGGTTTTAGGTTTTTAGGTTTGGAAAATGATTAAGTGGCGCTGACGTGTAAATGGATTGAAGTTTGATTGGTTGCAATTTCCACGTGGGAAAGGTGGATCTCACGCGCACAATCAATAAAAAATATTTGCGGAAGTTTTGTGCCACATAGCCACGGTGTTTAAAAGGAATAAATTATGGGTGGTTCAAGGATTCAATATGAAAATGATGTAGTTGAGGTACCTGAGGAAAAAACCCCAACAAGTTTAGGGATATGTTTATGTGTTTGGCCTTTATACTATATAGTTTCTATCAAGTGAGGATCATTTGGGCAATGCACCCATAAAGGGCCCATTTGCAATAAGTCAGACATTTGACAATATATTATTCCTTCAGTTTAATAAAAATAGCAAACTTCAATTTCAATTTTTCAGGTTTAACATCATAAAATTAAAAGTATTTTGATAAATGTGATATACTTTCGATTTAAATTAGATTTTCTTTTTGGAAGGGAAGGAGTATATGCTATCACAACTGCACGTATGAAGATGTTTCCAAACAGAAGAAAGGCTGCAGTCCAGGAGAAAGGATTTCCTGCGAATTGATGGGAGTGAAGGCCATATTGCTGGTAATTCACTTTACAATTCAATTTTTCGTCTCCTTAATTGGTAATTCTATCATGTTGTTTCTCAGAAGAAAAGAATTCAGTTGATTTACAGGTGATAGTAGAATAAAAAACTTGTTCTGGATTATATATTTATAGGCATATATATATATATATATATATATAATTATTACTCACTATCTTGATGCCGTTGTGGTGAAGGCGACAGCATTAGCTTGATAGTGATCTGTGCCGTATATAGTGAAATACCAATTTGTTTAATCCAAAATCCAAATGCACGTAAGCTATTTGAATTTATGCTTCAAAGAAGGCTTCCATTTGAAGCTCACAAATCTGTAATGCTTCTGCACGTCAAGTGAAAGAAATTTTTGAGAGAGTGAAACTAAATTAGAATAACTTCCAAAATGCTGCTGCTACAAACTCCACTAGCATATGAAAATACAGCCATAGAAGAAATGGCCTGATAAACTAGACTAATTTTACAGACTGCTTAGTAGGCTTCCAACAAGAGAGAGCGTAAATTACGCGTCCTTTCCATCCTTGCAGCATCCAGTGTCCATCTTCATCAACTGAGAAGTCCCTGTGGTACTCCGACCTCACTTTATTCCTCACTATCTTCACAATCTCCTGGTCAAGTGGCACCTGTTTGAATCCAGCTCTAACGCATCTAAGTTGCCATTGCTTGTATGTTTCAGGTCTCTCGACTCTCTCTGTCCCTTCACAAGCTATCACGTTCATAGCATCTCTTGCATAAACCTCTTCCTCGAATAGCTTTCTGTCCTCATCCTCGTGGGGCATAGTAGCCTCAAACATATCAAACAGTGAAGAGAAGTGAAAAAGCGCCTCCCTGAATCGTGTGACGAAAAATGGAGTGTTGAAAGTACCGTTCAACGCACCATGGATGAACAAATCAGGACGGATTCTCCTGATTAAATTCAGGACAGCATCCCTTGGACTGTTTGGTACTACTGTCTCATCAGGTATGTTTCCTAGCCTATACAAACTGTTAACTACCAACACTTCATCCCTTTGAATCTCAAGATCTTCAAGCGTGATGCTTTCCCACTTCTTCGCGATGGCTTTGAATACGAAAGGGACATTAAATCGCTTGCAGTACTTCTCCAGGCGACGCCCTGTCTCCTCAACCCTCCCTGCTGGCTTGAAACCTGACTGGGGAAGATCGATTCCAGTAATGCGAAGCTCTGGAGGTCCCCCAGCCCTCATGGATAGACCTTGTATGAGACAGGGCCATTGGAAACCATACAAAATCCCAAAATCAATTATGTGTATCTTTGGTGCTCCAGCAATGACCTTTCTGATATACTTGTTTGCGAAAATGTTTGACAGCAACTTGAATGGACATGCTGTGATAAGTGCCTTGTAAGCTTTCAAAATGGTAGCAGCTGATATCCTACTGGGTGCGTACGCTGTATACAAAGCTGTTCCTGTGCCGGACAGGCGTGCTTCAAGGGCATTGGCAAGATAATGAGCCAACCTCTCCGTCCCATCGCCATGAGGTGTAGAGTGTTCTCTTATCCGCATCAGCAGCTCATTAGCTGTTCTGCTATCATAGCTTGCCATGGCCTGCGCACATTGAGTCAACAGAGCCCTCAAATCCACCATTTCCTTCTTGACAATGCTGGTATGCTTCCTACCACCTCTCGGCCTTCCAACTTTGCTTGCTTTTTTGGCTTCATTAGGCGGCGAGTAGGAAGTGACACTAGTAGCACTATGCTGTTCCACATATGGATTGTTTAAACAAAGCAACACGTTGTCATACATTTCCAATGGTTCAGATTCATCATGAACAAATGTAGCCATCTGTTTGTTACTCCTCTGCTGGTCTACAGCAGCATCTCCTCGATGACGATTTTTCTTTTCCCTCAAACCAGTGGGTGAATTGCTGCTGCTGCCACTTTGGAACACATTAACAGCTCCTCCTTCAAAATGGCCATTGCCGAAGGAAGTGAAGAAAGAGTCATGATTAGATAAAGTGGACACGGAAACAGGGGATTCGAAATTAAGATCCCATTGAGGCGACTCAATAGAATCAGGTGAATAGTTGCTGTGAAATCTAGAGGATTCGTGTGGATTGATAATGACAGATTGTGGGGAATAGCTGTTTTCGGATCCATGAAGTACATCAGATAAGTATTTCTCTTTAGCTTGGAGAGCCATGCAGTCATGAAACATACATGGCTTATTCTCCAAATCATCTTCTTCCATAAGCATCTGACTTAAGAATTTGTACATTGCATCAGAATAGTCCCTTTCCCCTTCCTCTTTAGGAGAAGAAGAATCTCCCTTTCCAACAACATGATTTGAAAGATAATCTTGAACAAAACTAGGATGATTATTGACACCATTTTGTACATCATCTTTTCTTGGATCCATTGGAATTGAAGGGTGCCTAAAAATGAAAGAATCAGCACAAGGAAAAAGCTGTTCTTGAAAAAGGGCTTCCATGGAAATTGGTTTGAGCTACTAAATTCTGAGATGTTTGATTGAAGAAATCAAGAATCACAGAAATTCTAACAAAAAAAGAAAAGAAAAGAAACTGAAACAAAAAATAGGAACTGAGAATGGTACCTGATATATAGAAGAAAATGCTGTTGAAGTAGTAGGTAGTAGTAGAATAGAAGAAGAAGTAGTATTGAGGTTGGAAGCTAAGAAATGGTTTCTCTTGGAATATATACAAGTGTATAATAATAGGAAAAGAAGAAGGGTTAGAATATTCAATGAAAAAATAGCAACTTCCAGGAAGCAGATGTTGATGATGATGAACCCAACCACTCGTGAATCGTGACCGGCTAAGGTAAGTTATC